GAGCCAGGAGCAAAAATAACATCAGCAGGCTCTATATTTACTCGGCGAAAACATTTTCAATTAACAGTTAAAATAACTCTGCTATACTGTCCGCCATAAATGACCAAAATAACTAAGAGACAGGGCAGCCATTCTTATGCTAAACAATATTATAACCAAAGGAGATTACTACCATTGGCGCCAGAAAGTTACTACTTGAAAACTTTCAGAATGTTATGTCTCTTTGTACTGACAGAGATAGGAAATGTCTTCACAAGATGTCCATCATTATCATGAATTCAGTCATGGGCACGCAACGGCTCTCCTCTTTGCAATATCTGTTACACAGGTGATTTCTTACTGGCTGAGAAACTTATGGCCACTGGCCATCAGTTGCACCGAAAAGATGAGCCGGATTTTCTGTCAATTATTGTTCGAGAGATGATAGCAGACCAGAAACCAATTTTTGCATCTATCTGACAGTGCAATCTTTTTGCCTCAAGGCCTATGTTTGTGCTAGTGCTGTGGATTTTGTCATTTATGAAGGGATTTTTCCCTTTGAGATGTTTATAAGCGTAAACTAATGTTATTCCATGAAACCTGCCACATAGCATGAAAGATTCAAAAGTTTAAAAAAAAAAAGAAAGCTGAACTCTGGTGTAGTCAAATAACTGACAACCTTTTCCCCGTTCTTTTAATTGACGAGATGATCGATCGTGCGAGTGTTAACGTCGCCTTACCTGTTTGGCAAATACTTCCTGTGTATCCTTTCGCGCAAAGGCACACATAGCTGTTCTTCTCGTAAAATGATACGCAAGTCCCACTGTTCTGGCACGGTCCACTCATACATGGAGACTAAGAGATAAACTGATATTTAGCAAATTGAAGGTAAGCTAAGCTAAGCTAAGCTCGGTAAAGCTAATTGAAGCCCAATCATAAATAACGAGTCTACGGCTCTCTCTATCAACGCAAAAGTTCCAAAAGCAGGAAACAAAAAGGTTTAAAGTTTTCCTGCTGGGAGTGAATTCACTTAGATCGATATTAAAAAATAATATGACAGCGGTCTGTCAACTTCATTTTGACAGGAAATTGGCAATCCGTAGCACAACATAATCTTGTAGATAATACTAATATTCCACCTAATGAAAGTGTGCTAACAACCGGACACAAAAATATAGATTCGCTGGATAACTCTTCGGGTATTTCCTAGAAAACTGACAATTTGCAACACATGTCGGCCGTTTTATCCTGATCCAGAGGACATGCAGGAATTTTCTGGATGTGCGATGATTCTGTCTTCTTCAAAATTAAGAGTGTGAGAAATTACGAGGATATCGACAGTTACTTGCAGCCCAGCACAAGTGCATGGCCGTTGCGCTTTTTTTTTCCAGTACCAGTAAGAAAAGTGAAAGTATTCACTAATTCATCTAATTCTGTCCATAATTTTAAAGTGGCGAGATCTTCCTGTGAACATTTCAGGGATGTTTACGCTTCATGAAAAATAAATAAGCTGCGTCATTAACCTGCTTGTTAGCTTTTTGTCTGCGAGCTTCAAAGTCTAACTTTCTCAGTTCGAATATTTAGTTGGTGCTTATGTTCACTTGTAATATCGTCGGTTGAACCAAATTAGCCCTTTCAAGTTCAATATCCCACTTTATTTTATAAGTACTGAGATTTATCCACAGAAATGACAGTGATGAAAAAATCGTTCTGTTTTTAGTCGCAGCCNGTCGAAATCGTTTTTGGCATATTTCTACCAAAGAAAGCTGTATTAGCAGAAACTAACTATGGTCCGTTTCTATTCTTAATAGGACCTATCTAGGGACGAAATACAAGCGAAATCATTTAGGTCCATTTTTATAGGCATTCACTCTTAAGCACGGGCTTAACAAGAATTTCTGTAAATAATTTTTTTTAGTAGCCGAAAGGCCATATTTTCTTTTTCTTACTGTTCAATAGCGAATCACCGCTGTATCAACGTTTTATTTTGATAAACAAATTAACGACTTTCAATTTTATACATAAAAAAATGCTGAAAGGTTATTAACAAGCAGAACTTTGAAATAGTTTTGCGCACGAAAATTTAGTTCACTGTTGTAGTTGATGTTTTTTTTTCGACGTTGGCAAAATTTGATATACGACTTGCTCTGTACAATTTGGGCTTAAATGGAAAAAATGGCTAGCTACGCCCCCGATTAATAAGATCACGAAGATCGGGAGAATCACTGTTCTTTTTGCTGCCTCGACCGCTTAAAACTGCCAATACCTTCGCAAATGTTTGAGATCAAAGCAGCAGTGGAAAATAACTCGCTTAATATTCAGATTCCTCTTAACGGTCAATACAAGCTAACACATGGTCTGCGTTTAGATCACTTAAACGTACCCACTGAAACGTGACACAAAAATTCGCGCCAAAATGATGTCACCTGGTGCGTTTTCTTGCAGGCAAAATGCACTCCGGGGGAGGGGAGGTATCCCTTATGTAAAGGTCGGGGATGCACGTCGTCTCTCCAGTAGAGATGTAAAAGAAGGATTTTGGTCTTATTTAGGGTGTTCAAGACGAAAGGCGATTAAGACACCATTTTTAGCTGTAAAGTATGTTTTTGGGTGCACTGGAAGAAATTACTCTCATTTCCGACATTTTCGTTTTCCATTTTATTTTATAAGTACTGAGATTTATCCACAGAAATGACAGTGATGAAAAAATCGTTCTGTTTTTAGTCGCAGCCAATCAGCGACGCGAACGATGAAATTTCACAGTGAAAAATCATCGTTCGCGGCGTATGATTGGACGAACGATGTTTTTCACTAGTGAAAAGTGATCGTACNGAACATTTCAGGGATGTTTACGCTTCATTAAAAATAAATGAGCTGCGTAGTTAACCTCAGGCTTGTTAGCTTTTTGTCTGCGTGCTTCAAAGTCTAGCTAACTTTCTCAGTTCGAATCTTTAGTTGGTGCTTATGTTCACTCGTAATATTGTCGGTTGAACCAAATTAGCCCTTTCAAGTTCAATATCCCACTATATTTATAAAAGGCAAGTTTTGTTTTAAAATAAATGGGTGGCAGTCTCTGCCAGAAAATTAAAGTGAGAAGATCTTTCTGTGCCGAACTTAATTGCGCCATGAAAAATGAATAAGACAGGGAGCTAACCTGCTTGTTAGCTTTTGTCAGTGTGCGAGAATAGAATATATCGAGTCTTTACTTGGTGATTGTTTTTATTCGTTATTGCCAGGTAAATGAAATTTAGGCCCCTCAAGTCAATTATTCCATAATATATATATATTTTTTACCCCTTTTAACAAGCTGCGTTCTTTCGTAAAATATTGCTCTTGCCACTCCAAATTAAAATTTAACATCTTCCCCCCGCGATATCAATTAAGTCCTCTATCTCAATTTTCGTTTCCCCGTTAAACGGGCGATATTTTGCGAAATTAAAAGCGAGCGCACTTTTTGCAGGAGAATATTTAGTGTCGAGATCTTCCTGTGTGGATTTGCTTTGCACAACGAAAAAAAACAAAACAACATAACAAATGAGAAAGGTAGGAGCTTTGCATGGTGGGCGAGTCTCGTACTATTTTTGACATAAACACTGACAATATACATTGCTTTATAAAAAGTTTTCTCCCTGGACCTTGAAAATTGTAGTTAACTCAGAAAAAATTCTTACCAGAATGCATTTATTCAAAGAGGCTGTCAGTGAACTTTACTTACCGCAATACTGAGGTGATGGAAAAATTGGCTGCTGACGAACTTGTCCGAGTTGTTGTATTTGTCAGATGGGAGCAGTTCACATAAGATTCTTCCGTTGAT